AATGATGGGAATTTTCAGATTTTTACTTGTTCACAAATTGACTGAATTTTATAAAATGCGAGATCAGAATACATACCTAGAATGTGTATCTCAATAGCTCTGCTATCTTATATTTTTGAATTGTAACTCAGAAATCAGAGTAATAGTCGAGACCACTTAAGACCTTCATAAGACCACACAAGACCTCCAGTCTGAATTCAAGCCACAAGCTATTCAAATGAACTACAACAAAAGCATTCCTTTGTCACTGTTCAAACTCTCACTTGTGACTAGTCTTGCTTATGGTCTTGTGTCTGATCTTGTGTCTGGTCTTATAATGGTCCCGACTACAATACTGCTGTAAAAATTTAAAACTGATATGAAAACATACCAGAATTACATGTGCATGTAATGACAGAAAGAGAAAAAACAAGCTCTTGATGTGTTAGGGAAGACTTTAATGCTGTGACTCCCTTGGGAGTCACTATCACAATATCCCATATCTCAGTAGTCAATAACTGTGTCCAACACATTACTACAATATGATCCACTTACCAGGGTTGAGATTCTGAGAAAAAAAGTCTGAAATTTGCCCAAGTTGTGGGATACCAGTATGTGTGTAAAACAAGCCTCAGATAAAAGACATGACAACTTTTAACTGCAGCATAAGGCACTGAAAATGTATATAATACTGTGTAACATGTCATTTATGAGCTTTTTGTTATTTCTCAGCAAATGGGAGATTTTGACAAAAAATGAAAAGTGCAAAAGCAACTTTACAAAAACGGACAGAATAGGCCTAGATGTAATTTTAAATATGTTACCCGGCATGAGTATCACTTTGTATTCCATCTTCCTTGTTTCACAGCCTTGGTGTGGGCCTTTCTGGCCCTTTTGACACAACCATCATTGTAAGCTTGGCAGTTCTGGTAGCTACTTTCTTGAAAGATTCAGCATGAGTAATGACTGCCTTTTTCCATTCGATGCAAAGTTTATTTTGGTATGGCACAACATGCATAGCGCTTTGCTCGGCTTCTTCAATATCCGAATGAACTTGAAAAAAAAATTCCTCCAGATTTGTTTCCACCCATTTTAACTGCCATGAGCTATCAAGGCCTTTGTCGATTTCCTTCATCTGTCCCTCTCCTTTCCAATGAATAATGGCTTTGCGACATGACATGATAATTCAAGTCCTGTCGGTAACATTGCAGTTTGTTCGGGCAAAACTCAACCATGTAACATGCTGATGATGCTAAACCGCACACAAGAATGTTCTTCATACAGTGAATGTCATCGGTCCATTTGCAACATTACCAATTTTTTTTTTCCACAAAAGAGTCAATAAAAATCATTATTTTTAAATGTATCTCCAAATCCTAGCCTGGTTTCAGGTCTGTGTGTATGGCATAAGTTCAAGATTGTACGGGACCGGCCGTGCTGCGTGTGTGAAGCTTTACATGTGCTATGATGCTTCATATAATCATGCTATATGTGTGGGATACATGTATACGTACTAACATGGTGGAATAAAACACAACAGTTTACAATAAAAACATGTGACACAGGACGGTAGAATAGTAAGGAAAAACAAATTTTCTGAATTTCATTTATTGAAACATTTATTGTTATATCTGATACTTGAACATCCAAATATATTTCTTAAGAAAAGTATGTAGAAAGTGGTTGTAAAGTCAGAATTCTGCCAAAAGTTGGAAGAATTTCATCCCTGCACTTACACTGTGTCGTCCTTCCAGTACTATATTACTGTTAATTCTCGATGGGGCTGATTAAATTTTAGGACAGCATGGTGGGTGATTCATCAGTCAAAAGGGGACCCTTTAAACAAATGATGTGGTGATGGAATTGCAAATACTTTCAATATCAGTAATCTCACCTCTCTGCCTGTGTATGATTCTGAGTCTTCAAAAACAACAGCTATGAACTTCATCTTTGTTCTTGGATTTCTCCAAAAAAAGTTCAACAACCACTTGACCCTGTAAGTATAAATTTGAAAATTATTAAAGCAAATGAATACAGTGTTTGCAACAGATACGACGGTACTGGTTAATTGATGAGAGTTTGCAGCAGTTTTAAGAACCTTTTCTGTATATTTGCAGCATGTATTTAATTGTATCAAGTATTTCTAAGTAACTTTAACATTTTTGAAACTTTTGGGCAAAAGTTACATTATCATGCAGTTGTATCTTTGACTCATACATGTTACAAATGCATAATTACACAGAAATGAGAATGGCAAATTTGTTGTGCTTTCTATGAGTGTTATTTTTTCTAATGTCAAGCATTGCAATGTTCACATATTTGTATATGTATTTTAAATACACGCCTGCATATTACCACGTGTATAAATACCCACTTCACAGGAGACAGCATTGGCCAGTTTGATGGTGTGTTCTGTGGGCTGTGTTTGGAGATATGATCAATAAGTGCCTGCCTCAGATGACTCACATCTCGGGGAGCTGTTGGCAAAATAGCAATGTTTTCATGAAAAGTCTGTGCATGAAACACATGCACAGATATTAACAAGAAATTAATTACATGGAAACGCACATCTTCCATGACTTGCATATAAATATGCACCTGTCACTTCATTTATCAAAATGATACAAGCTTACAGTAGGTTGCATTTTATTGCAACCGTCTGAGTAATACAAAATCAGGGAACTTTCCATGTGACTCAGGTTTCCCCATAAAAATTCCAAAAATTGCCTCTATAAATCAAATGAAGGATAAATATGTTTCAGCTTGATTTGTTTTTGTATCTTTAACAGTTTCCTTGTTATACCCTGGGGCCTCTAGCCTCTGAAAGTTTGGGTGCTGCATCACATTTTGGCATACATAAATTACTCTTTCATTTTTGATAGCATCTTTGAAGTCTATACATTCTTTTCTAAAACAGATGGAAAGTTGACAATTGTTGTGCAGGCTAATTAGTGCCTATAGTTTTAGGTCTTAAAAAATAAGAAATCTTTGAATACTTGGAAATTACATGACCCTAAAATCCGCTACCCTGGTAGAGAATATCTACACAGTCAATACATATGCAAAACTTCTATGCGGCTAGTGCTATTTGCTGAAAAGACTTGATCATCCATGGTGTACCCTGACCTCCCACAATGCATTGCCGTAATGTTGCCATGTTCATCCTTTTCCAAAGTGACTCAAGTTGGGGGGGGGGACAGGTGAGTGAGGACTCTTTAGCTGGTATTCTCTAGCATACTTGTCCTGCACGCATGCGGGTGAGGAGTCAACTGCATTCAACCAACCCAAACAGTCAATAAGTATGCACAATGGCACCGGTCTTAGGTGGAGGGTTGGCTACGACACATGCACAGGAAATGATGAGCACAAATTCATAAATTGTAAATGATAATAAACATATGCACTAGAGCAGTTCAGTGTTTGTACTCTATCTTGGCGAGTACCAGAGGGATCAGGGAGATAGGTGGGAAGGCACATGCTAGTAGGCCGTCTAGTTGATCGGTAGAGCGTCAGTGGCCCATGCCCGCGGATGCAGTGTCCTGGTGCAAAACACTGGGAATTGGGCCTTGTCCGAAGAGATCGAAGTGAAGTGTCTTTAAGGCCAAGACGAGTGCTCTGACTATGCCAGTGTGCAGAGTCCATTTTGTTGGGTGGATCGTGCTGCAGGAGAGCACATCTACTACCGTATTGTCGGGCCCCACAATGTGAACTGCTTGCACGTTGATCATGTGGTCGTTCTTCCATTCTAAGATTTCTCACATTTGGGACAGATAACTGGGGGGAGTGCTGCCCTGATGATTGATATGGGCCACCTCTTTCAAATTGTTTGAGCAGACCAGGACATTCTTTCCTTCGATGCATATAAGGAAATGACATAGGGCATTGAAAATCACTTGAAGTTCCAGAGCGTTGATGTGATTTTGCTGAAAGTGGGCATCCCAGTCTCCAGAAATCTGATGGGGGGGGAAGGGAGGCCCCCATCTGAGCAAAGACATTTCGGTCGTTATCACTATTTGTGACCCGCTCTGTAAAAACGTGTATTAAGTCATGCAGTGCAAGAACTCGTAATGGCCCATTCCATGTGCCGTGGGTGAAAATATTTGGAAATATTTTGAGGCCAATTGCTTGAACAGAAAGCCTCTGTTGCTAAGGAAAACAAGGAGAGTGTCTAATTTAAGTTTAATGTTTCGCTTCGTTATGTTTAAAGGGCATTACCTCAACAAGCGCGCATGATAAAATGAAATTACATGAACATGAAAATGGCAAGTAACTCGAAAACGCAAATGCCACTGGGATGAATTATATATGAAATGGCAGCTTAGGATGTGAGCAATTTGATTATATATAACTCAAATTCAACACAAATGACATAATACACCTTTTTGCAGAGCCGGTCACATTTTAGGTTTCACCTGTGAGAATGGGAGTCTAGTGTTTAGGTTGTCTTAATTCGCCACCATAGCAGATATTGTCGAAAGTCCTCTGATACGCAGACTGAAAGATCGATGGGGTCTGTCTTGGGACAGTATCAAGAAAGCAGGTGGAGTTGCAGCAGTCTCCACACACCATGGAGCTAAGTTTACCATGCTGGCCATCAGTCCGAGGAGACGGAGACAGGCGAGGACTGGGGACACTTGAGAGGACTGGAAATGAGACACGCACTTCTGTAGAATGGCGACTTGTTCAGCTGTCAGGGTAATGATACCTTTGCAGAGGTCGAGTATCGCCCCAAGTTAAGTTGGGAGCTGGGATGGTACAAGCTTCAACTTTTCTTCATTGATGAGGAATCCGAGTTGTTTAGTGAGGTCGTAGGTAAGGTGAGTTGATGCTACGGTCTTGTCTCAGGTCTGGCCAAAGATCAGCCAGTCATCTAGGTAATGGAAGATCACGACGTCCAGCTGTTGTAAGCAACCTGGGTGAAAACTCTGAGCAAAGTAGACAGACCGAATGGAAGAGCTCAGAACTGGTGGGGGGGGCGTGATGAATACCCTCATCCCAGAGAGGCTTGACTGGATCTTGGAGTGGTATGAGTTGAGGCCCAGCACTGGCTCAGCTGCTGTGGAGGGGGATGAAAGGAGCAACACGCAGGATAACTCTGATGAGGTGAGTATTTGGGTTGGCAGGTGTTGCACAGCTGAGGCTGCTGTGTAGCCGGAGGCTGTGTTTCACAGAACTATAAGCCTTAGCCTCCAGTATGTCAAGAAACTTGCTGGCAAAGAGATCCTCTCCGTAGAGTGGGAGTTCCTGGAGGCAAGCCTTCACATGGTCGTAAGGAATATGCATAACATTTAGGGTGTTAGATCTCTGGGTAGAAGTTGCGAGGCAGGAAAATCAAGCGAATTGTGCGAATGCCCAGTTAAGTTATCAATCAGGGCTAAAGCTGTGAAGTCTGGGGTTACAGGATATTCTCCTCACATGCACAGACCAGATACTCCACCAGAAAGAGCAGAAAGGCAGTGCATCATAGCCAAAAAAGAAAAGCTCTGTCTAGTCTAGTAAGCGAAGATTCCAGAAGGGCCTTGTCCTTGTCTCGAAAGATCGATTTAGAGGGAGGTTTTCCTGAGCCAGTGGTGACTTTGTCTCTGACTGTATCAGGTACTTCAGGAACCAACAGGAAGTTTTTGAAGTCTCCTGCACTCAATAACACACCAACATATTTTCATTGTGATCGGATCCTAAATGGAGGCATGGTTGGGCCTAATCATACACACGTTGTATCAAGACAAATAACTTCAACAATCCCCCCATTCAGGCTACTATTTGGCCCTTCGGGAAAACTAGGAAATTTGAGCTTTTGACATTATAAAGTATTATGTTTTATCATTATTTGATTATCCACATCGTTGAACATTGACACAGGGAAATGTTAATGGCAAGAAAATAATCTCTTTCATATGGAATAAAATAAAGAGCCTGTGCATCCACCTTGATGAAAGATGTAGTTTCATTTGGTTGAATGAACAGTCAATGATTTAACACATCCTTGGAATTGGGGTGTGCCATCCCACTCTGCAGTCATGTTCATTCCTTTTCAATAAACTCATTGTTGTGTATTTCCTTATAAAGAACTGATCTGGTAATAGAAACAGTTTTGGAACTTCACTAGTGCCAAGTGCTTGTGTTACACATACATTGTCATAGGCTTTTTCACTCCTACAGCATGAAATCATTTTGAAAACTCAGTAACTTTCACCATTTCCTGTGCCAATCCACCCTCCCTCCTTCAAAACTCAACTGACATAATCAACTCTGCCTTGCAATATGTTAATTGCTCACCATTGTTTTATTATAAACAGTCCCTTTGTATTGGTGTTGTCATTTGTTATTAAAATATTTTCCTTGCATAATTTTGGTTGCCTTTGTTTTGTTTCTCAGTTTTCATGCATTGAGAGCCAGCATATGGATCCTATACATCTTGAACGGCTCAGACATCCCTCTAGTGGCAAATTCACATTTTCCAAGATGGCCTCCATCTTTGCTGCATATTGTTCTTCCGGTACACCTTTTATTTACTTAATCCATACTGAGAATCCAACCTACATGTACAGCCACCATGGACTGAATTCAACTACCTGCTTCTCCAGCTGAGAAAACGGCAAAGTTGAATGGTGCTCTTGACACATGCAGGCAAAACTATTTGTTCATGACCCTGTTTGCCAAGATTGGACCATAACGAAGTGCTAGTAGTGTATACAGTACCTAATTGTGCAGACCAATTTGTAGAAGATTACGGGCTTAATTTCTAAATAAATAAGAATAAATTAGGCATGAAAGCTGCACCAATTAATGCTGTTTTAGCATTGATTCAAATTAGGTTTTGGTTTGATAAGTATAAGATAACAATTCTTCAACTAAAACATGCTTCATGTCACATTTCTCATTCAATTCACTCAATTGTTACTTGTATTTTTTACATAAATCTGAGTTCATCCACATTGCAAACCAGTTGGGAATTTCTATATTATTCAGGTTCACTTTGTTGTGTTACTATGCCCCAGAGTTTTGTTTCATTGAGTATAATTGAAGGCTTGTGGGAAGACAAACCATAGGGCCTGCATGGCCATGATGAAAGAATTTAAGTTCACTTCTGTAATAATGCACCCGAGTTTTATTCATTTTTCAACACTGAAGGATTGTGTTAAGGAGAAACAACGAAAAAGTGGAGATTCTTTAACCCCTTCATGGCGGGATTATTTTGATCGCAACTGCTGGGCTGTGGTA